CATGAAGAAAACCACCAAACAAGTAGCGAATAGATAGCAAAACATTATATTGTTTCTTCACTAATACTAGACCCATTATCTTCCATATTGGAAAGAACCATTTCACTAACACTTTGTATATTATCATCTAAGTTGAAATCCAATTTATTATATATCATCAATTGTGGGATGATCAAAGCCAAAGTTCAACTAATCTCTTAAAATGTTTTTTTTATAACTTCAATAGAATTTTATTCATGATGTAGTTACATGTTATGAAGTAAACCATACAACTTTTTTTTTTTTAAATTGCATAAGATGCAAAGACGAAAAAAGAAAGAACGAGAACTACATAAAACCCAAATCTTCCGTTCCGAGTGAGTAGTTATAGGCCTTCTAGCAATGATCCTACTAGCCTAGACCTCCTTTCTTACCTCGACCACGATTATCATGTGAAAGAAAAAAATTTGGATAAAAATCGAATTCATAAAAAACGATTTTACGTCATGTTCCTATATTTTTCACCACAAGGCAAAGCTCCTTAAGTAACTTGTTACAATTTTTTTTTTATATATAATAAAACAGATTTTTTTTATAATATTTTAGTATTCAAAAAAAATAATCAGATTTCTTCGCTTTTCGACGTGTGTGTCCCTTATCATAGAATCACCGAGCACAATCAAGATATATTCTTTAACCGTTTTTTATCGATTTTTTGTAACAAAACTATTATGGTGTCAAGAAAGTACTCGTTACTTTGGAACAAAGAAAACAATATCCAAAAATATAAGATAAGGTTTTGAGAATGTGAGAATCGAGGTGGAATACAACAGTGAGAAGCACAATCTCACGTGTAACTTAGGCGTGAAGATCCTCTACCTAGATATAGTAAGCCACCAATTTAGAATCTTTCTCACTTTTCTTGTTTTCACTTCTAAAATATATTTGAAACCCTTTTTTTTGGGTTTTTGATTTTGGCTTCTCTTTTTTTTTTTAATGCACTTTTAGTCCCTTTATCTTGAAGACTAATTATGCATTGATTAATTAAAAAATAATAGAGAATCATTAATTAACAAAAGTTTGGAAACAAGTAATGAGCTACTTAAATTTCTACCAAACTTTGATGCCCCGAGACCACCGATCTAACAAGAAGTATCATATTTTAATTAATCGTTGTAATTACCATTCGCAACAAAATGTTAAAGAATGAAATTTACGTGATAATTTATTAGCTGACATATACTAACCGATAAGTTTTATTTTATAAATGCTTATTTTTTATCGTTTATGTAATAATCATTCTATCTATTAAACTTTTTATCGTTTACTTGATAATGACATATATACTAACATTCATTTACGTAATAATCAATTTGAACTCGGTCGACTAATCTGAGATATGTGGATATCAAGTTTATGAAAAAGTCTTTTTTCAAAAAAAAAAAAAAATTATGAAAAAAGACGAATTGGTGCAAGTGAAGATGTTAATATTACAAGATTTTAGTTTTATTCATTGGATGATATAGCCAAAAGTAACAATTTCATTAGACTGGGTCCATTGGGATTTGATTAGAAGAAAAAATTAACAAATTTGATGATTATATTTCTGAGCGAATAAAGTTTTTGTTTTGAAAACATTAAGTAAAATTTATTTCTTCATTGTTGAGATTATTTGTATGTGTTTATGTGTGGATAATCTTGCATAATGTAATTGTACTCTCTCGTTGTATCAACTCTTTCGATTTTGTTTTGAATAAGGTTTCGGTTTTGGGCCCATTATGAGCCCAATCTCCTAGGCTTAATCATTTAAGGCCCATTTAAAGCCAAAATAATGAAAAAGCCACAGAAGAACCAAATTCGAAGTTTCTCACATTGCTCTGATCTCATCTCTGATCTTTGATTCTCGCCGG